ACTATCTCATTTTATTTATTTTGACTTTCATATGCCCAAAAATTAGTGTCTTTAAAAAGGGTAATTTGATTAACCGACCAAATCGAATTATTTAAATTTCATTGATCGAATTTTTTCTAAAAAAAATTAACGAACCACACTAAGTTCAGTTAATTGATCGGTTAACCGAATTAATCGAAATTTATAAATAATATATATTATATATTTAATTTTTAATATTTAATATTTGTTGGTTTATTCTGTTAATATGGTCAGTTAATTCGGTAAAAATATAGTTAAAACACCCTTAGGGTGCGTTTGGTTCACGAAATGTAAGATTACCAGTGGGAATAAAAGATTACCAGGGAATAGGATTACTGGGAATGTTACATTACTGTGTTTGGTTGGTTTGGCAGGAATGTAAGATTACAGTGTTTGGTTGGAGGAATAAAAGATTACTGGAATGTATATTTTACCAAATTGTCCTTGTTCTATATTTGTTTTTTAACAAGTGAAGTCATAAGTATTTAAATAAAAATTATTTATATAAAAAAATCATTTGTTGATAATATATTACTTGAGTATTTAAATATATCATGTATTATTTTTATTTTAATTAATATAAAATTTTACATAATTTATGTAAAAGTATATTAAAATTTTACATAAACATTTAACTAAATGTTTACATTGTGGAAATTATTCATAGATATTCATAATTGTTGAAAGCATTTTGATATTTCGATATAACAAATTAATTTAAATAAATTTTAAGATTTTCCAAATGATTTTCTAAGTATATTCGATATAACTATTCGAATATCAAAACATTACTCCAAATCTTTTAAAGATCATTTTTAATCCTTACTCAAGTGTAAAATTAAGTTTTAATCTTAAAACAATTTCAAAATAATTTTACAAAGTATTTCGAATCATTTCAAAGCCAAAAATTTCAGATTGCTCAGAGGGAACCGATTCCCCCCCAAGGGGGTACCGATTCCCCCTGAATGGTTTGGCTCCGAGAATTCCAGTATGCTCGGAGGGAACCGATTCCCCCCCCATGGGGTACCTATTCCCCCCTTGTATAACGGTCGAAATATTTGAATTTTACACTTAGGGAATCGATTCCCCATAGGGGGTACCGATTCCCCCCACGCTCCAAACTGTTTTATTAATTGTTTTCACACTAAAATGGCTATATTATTTTCTCTAATCATCCCCAACGTTCAGAAGTGATTCAAGGTGTATTTAAGCAAGCTTAGAAGCCATTGATCAACAACAAGAAACATCAAGCAATTAGAATCAAGAGAGAATCAAAGAGAAAGCATCAAACCTCAAGTTTAAGCATTTCAAGCCTATTTTTCATTCAATATTCATCATTTTGCTTTCAAGAACACTTATTGTGCTCAATTGTATTTATTCTTGAGTGTTCTTTCTTTGTTCTAGAATTGTGCAAACATATTTACCTTGTGAGGTGTTTCTTGTAAGTTTGCAAATTTGTATTTCTCTTTGAGAAAAAAGTGTTCTCAAGAATTGGGGTATATTCTTGAGGGAGTTGTAAGGTTATCTCTTTGGCCTCAAAAGAAAGAACAAATTAGTGAATTTATTGGAAAATCCTTAGTGTGGATAGCTAAGGTAGTGGACGTAGAGTTTGGTTGATAAAGTTGAACAACTCTAAATCGCTGTGCAATTTCTTTCAATTTTCTGCAAAAGCTTCCACCAAAATTTTTATTGCCAATTCACCCCCCTCTTGGCCGATTCAGTCAATCAATTAACTCAACAATAATAATAAAAAGATGTAAATTATTTTTGTTATCTAAGATATAATATTTATTATATCTTCTATATACAATAATTTATTTATTTATCTTTTATACTTATACTTATTTATGCATACTTTATCATTATTATTTATCTCATTAATTTATATTACAAAAACATAATTCAAATAAGTAAGAAAATATAACATTAAAAATCATTATCTTTGTTAATATTTTAATAAGTAAGAAAACATAATTTATCAGTAATTGGTTGATGATTTATATTATTTATTCATTCAGTAAGGAATACTTATCTCAAATTCGTGGATTCTTTGGTATGTTTGTATGTTGTAACAAGTTTTTTGTGCATTAAACGTGAATAGCTTCTCATCTTTTCTTTCTTTTATTTCAGGTCAAAGAGTGGAATTGGATGTTAACTATGAACCGGATGAGAAACCCGAACCAAAAGCTCCTATTAATAATTTAATTTTAATAACTGAAAAAGTTTTTAAAAAATTAAAATTTATTCCCCCTTAATTTGTGTTGTAACATTTTAAGTTATAATTGTTTGTATCGTATGAATACTAATAATCAATACTGTGGTTTCAATCGTAAATCAATATCAAAATTTAAATAGTTTATTCATCTCGATGGTACAATATGTTTGGATTAGAGTGCCCAAACCTAAAACTATCTACATCAGACATTCCCCTCCAATCTATAACCCTTCAAATATGCTCTCTCCAACAGCAGCATCGTCTAGAGAAAACCTTCATCATTCTTGTCAATCAAACATTCAATTTCACATGATTAATCTCAATTAATCCGAATCGAATGATTCAAATAATTTAGTTTTGGCACTATTTTTTATAATAATAAAAAGTAGTATTGTATAATAATAGAAGCAAAATCATATAAAATCGGACAAATGCATGGACCTCGTTAGAAAAAAACTTTCCCAAACCTAGTAAAGGAAAAAGAGTCCACCATACTCCTTACCTTAGCTAAAAATATCAACATAACAATCCAATCATTTGTAACCAACAGAACAAAACCAGCAGAGGAGCGTCACTCACCCCAAACCAAGGCAAAATTTTTCAATGGTACAACACCATGCACAATGAATCCACAACCTTCAGAACTGAAAACTCAACTTGGGCACCAGCAGAACAATCCCAAGTTACGAGTTACTATAGAACTATAAAGTCAGACCCCACTATTCCTCCCAAACAACATCACTCGAACAATATTAAGATCAAACCTGCAATGCTTTCAATAAAAAAGAAAACTTATTCGAAAACTAGCACATTACTTGCTACTCATATACTACATAACAAAAAGAAGTATAACATTAACCATCAAAAGATTGTACAATGTTCAGACTTACAAAAGAATAGCCATGACATTCTAAACGTAATCATATATGTTGGCTATATTATATACACACAAAAATCTTCAAGTCAAAAGATTGACATATACTTGGATAAGCTACACAAAAAAGTTGGGACCATATTCTAAAGTCACAATCAAAAAGAGATCGACATAATTGTAGAAGGACGACGGTCAAAATGATGGTCTAAATTGACGACATTCAACCAATTGCTTAATCACATAATCTTGCTTGAATTCTTTTGGCAAAGAAAAGAAGAAATCTACCTTGTGCGCATATTTGCTAATATACTCTCCTGCAGTAAGCATTTCATCAGTGGCCAGTCCTTTAATTTTCATGATTTCAGTGAAAATCGACATTCTTCGATCATTTCCTTCTGTCTCTTTTTTCAATAAAGCAGTAATATGCTTAATTTCTTTGGCAGTTTCTCGGTATGCAGCACCGAACTTACTTATCCCCTGTACAAGCTCAGTTAACTCATTTTCACTTCGAGACCTTTTCTTACTAGCTACTTTTTTCATTGTAGGGGTAGAGCCAGTAGCATCAGATATTTGGCAAGTTGAAGCACCAACATCCTCTCTTGATTCAGAATCTCTTACTCCCTCTTCTTCAAGTAATGCATCTATAAATGCATTGTCTTCTACATCAATATGTTCCACTGCATCAGCTGCTGTCTCCGCTGCTGTTCCTGTAGCTTTTTCTTTTCCAAATATATATGAACAAAGTCATCAAAGAATGGAAATGACTTGTTTCTCAATCCAGCAGCAGTTGGATGACTCTACAATATAATAAAATCGCAAATTTAATAAATCTTACAAAGCTAAGTAGATAACAAAGAGTATAGAAAGAAGATAAATTCAATTAAAACACTTACTCTAACCCAATCATCAAACACATTCTTTGGTGTAGTTAAACATTTTTCTTCTTCATTCCAACCGAATCCACTTCCAATATTCAGCATTTCAGATAAAGCATTGTATTGTCTTTTGAGTAGCTTCACTCTAGATTCAATATGTGGATGGGCCCTAATTTGTGATGTTGGAAGCTTGATTTCTAACATCTTTTCAAGGTTAGATAAATAACCTGATCTAAATGTTCCATTATCAGCTTTCCAATGTGGGTCTTCAGCCAAAATGTGTAAACATTCAACAAGTGCAGCATCCTCCTCTTTAGTCCATGTCCTTTTAGTTCCTAAAGACTTAACCTTTCTAGATGTCGGTTTTCCCCCTTTGAGATTCCATATTTGATGTTGACATATTGCTCTTCGAAACAATATAAGAAGATGTATATAAAAAATGCATAACATAACATAAAATATGTCATCATTGTCAATACTAATCATAAATGAAATATAAAATAGTAACATAATATAAATCAAATGTAGTGAATGACATAAGTAATGAATGGCCATAACAAATAAAATTCGAATTTTATAGTAGATAAATACATAAAATTTAATAAAGTTTATGCCATAAAATATAAAGATGTCAAATACATGAAAGTAATGACCACTAACATTAGATAAAATATAAGGTGACAGTCATACATAACATAAAATAACATCTATCCTAAAGTACGTGACGCCAACCAACTAGTAAACATATCTTCTGCTAATTTGTCTCTCCATTCAGTCCAAGCACTGCTTGGCTCACAATGTCTGATCATTTCTACTTCATTAATCTCTTCAACATGCCTATTATCTTCAGTATAGTCAGATTCAATAGGATCGATTGGCATCTCATATCTTATGAAATTATGGAGAAGACAACAAGCGGAAATGAGTCTACATTGTGTTTTCACTGGATAAAATGATTTTCCTTTAAAATTACCCATCTCGCTTTTAATATGCCGAAGCATCTCTCAATGCAATTCCTAGCTTGAGAATGTTTTATGTTGAAATATTCTTGAGGGGTGGTAGGTTGGTGTCCTTCTCTCCAATCATTCAAGTGGTATCTTTGACCTCTATATGGTGCAAGAAATCCCTCTCCATTTGTGTATCCGGCATCACATAAGTAGTAACACCCTATATTATTTTAATTTAAAAAGTAAATTAATATACAAAACTTGTAAGAATTTTACATTCTATTATATATTAATGACCTAATAATTTACCTTGTGGAACATTTAAACCATTTCTTCTACTAATGGCATCTCTGAGTATTCTACCATCAGCTGCAGAACCTTCCCACCCAGGTAAAACATAAATGAATTGCATGTTTGGTGTGCAAACACCAAGTACATTTGTCGCAATTTCATTTTTTCTTGTTCTGTATCTAGGTTTATCGATTGCAACTACATTAACCTTAATATACGTTCTATCTAGAGCACCCAAACATCCCTATATTCATCAAATAAAGTTAAATTGCATTATTACTATCCATTTTTGTATTAAACATTAGTAATTAACTTAAAATAAAGTTTAGAATTATGATATAATACCTTAAACCATTTCCATCTATCGTCTGTTGAATTATCTTGTATCGGTTCTGGTTTTCTAAAAAGGATCGGATGCAGTTTCAAGACTGAAGCTAACACTGTATGGAGAACTCTACTAATTGTTTCACCAGATCTTACTGTTTGATGTTTTAAAACTCTAATCTTAATATGGTGGGATATAATATGAAGGAAAGTAATAACCATTTCTTCTATAGACATATATCGACTCTCTTTTAACCCACCTTGACTTTGTAATAGGTGACATAATTTGAGAAATGCTCTCCTATCCATTTGACAATTATCAACACTTTGTCGATCACTTTCAAATACAATTTTATGTAAATTAAGTGATCTAATATTATGTCTATGAAGTCTTTCATGTGCATAAGTTATTTTAGGATGATTTTTATATTTTCTAAGAATAACTGAAATAACCATAAGCATATGACACACAATCTCCATCATTTGCAGTTGTAAAATAATAATTGTGGCGATATGCGTCTTCTTTCGCATTGGTAAACGAGCCATAACTGTTATTATGATCAAACATATTAATATTAGAAAATAATAATATTTAACAAGAACAATTGTTTGTCATGACAATAAAAATAATTGAACACTAATTTAACAATTCCATAAACAAAGCATGCTTAAACACCGATGACGGGTTTCATATTAATACCTTAATTTTTTATTAAAACGATACAACTGCATCACAAGGCATAGTTAGTAAAATTCTTTTACTTAATACTAACATTGTTTGCTTGGTAGAAACTAGCATTCTAATTAACCATTCACCGTTCGAGTGTATATACTTGTTGAGGGCGATCGTCTTTTTAAAGGCAAGAAGGTCTAGTAGCTTTGCTTGCAAGAAAGAAGGCCTATATAAATAAGTTTAGGCTTTACAACCAAAACAATTATTCCTAACATATTATTATCTTTGAATCGATAGTAGAAACTAGAGGTTCTTATAACCCTATTTTTCCTAGAGTTTCATCTTATTTCCTAATCGTTTGTCATGCCCTAGTCCTATTAATTCACTGTTGTTTTCCCTTTTTAACAACATCAATGTCGTTTACGTTTTGTTCGTGTCTTGTTTGATATGAATAAGCAAGAACTTACGTTTATTGTTGATGAATGATGTCAGAATTAGGATCTGGCTTGTAAAACTATCAAGTTTCAATTAACAGATGTAAATGGTAGTTTCATTTTCATTGCGTTTCTATTTCTGGAGTCTTCTTCCCTATTGAAATTCTAAAAGCTTATAACCATGGGATATTGTTGTTCCTGTAAGGTCAAATTTTACGGGTGATCCCTGTAAGTAACTAAAGTTGCAAAGATCAAGTACCAGTAACATTTGTCGTTGCAAATCTGTAATAAGGGACTTAGCTTCATAGACAATGGAAGGGGTTTTTGCCCTTCCCAAAATTTTTGATTGAATAACATTTTAAATCATTATTAATTTAAATTTAAGTAAAATTAAACTTTTTTATCAAAAATTTTAAATTAAATACATATAAATTTTATTATTTTAAATTTAAATATTTTATCCCTCTAAATACTTGAATGTGGTTTAGTCGTGTTCATAATTATTTAACTTTCTTCTATGAATTTAAAATTGTTGAATGCGGTTATCAGCAGCAGTGAATGAAAAGTGCTCTCATGCCTTCTTTTCATGGACGATTATGCACCACCAACCTAGACCCGTATCTGGGTTTAAGCAAGAAGAGCACTTGTTCAGGGTCTCTCATCAAAGACTTCGAACAAAAATTAAAATTAATTTCTTTTTTTCTGTGGAGGCCCCAATCAAAGTTAAAATTAATAACCACATCAATTACGGCTTAAATTCATAAATGTTCTTCAGCTACTCTTGAAAAAATAGACACCAACTATTTTACATTTCAGTACCATGTAGAGATGTCAAGCTGCCATTAGTATCTTATGTGATTTAGCCCTATACATTAGCAAAAAGATCACAAAAGGTACTGCAGAACCAGAATATGATGACCAGAGATGTTGCACTAAGTTATTCTATATGATACAATACTGGGTACACATATCTGGGACATGCAAAGCAACATCTGGCGCTATCAGAAAATAATATGCAACTCCATATTATTTTATCATTAAAACTACTTGTTCAGGTTAGGGACACGAGGCTGGAGTTGGAGCAGGTGCAATTGCAAGTTTTATTTAAGACCTTTGATGCTTAACTTTAGCTAAAGGAGAAGTATATCTTTAGGGAGCTTCAGGACTTGGTAATCATATGAAGGTGAAAGTCTAAATCTTTTATTTTATCATAAATTATGCCTTTTCCAGTTTATGCTTTGTCTGATTGTGAGTGAAACAGCTAGTTCATCTCATCATTCTGAGTGTTTACCAGGTTACAAAAATTTTGACTCAGTGAGCATCATTATACCTCCTTCAACTCTTTATGCACCATAAGAACATAAGCAAGGTTTAGCAAGTTTCAAAGACTAAATTAGTACCACAATTTGATCAAACAAGCAAAAATCATGGTATTAAAGACCCAATGCTAATTTAAGAGATTTGAGCAAGATGATAAATCCAACTCTTTTCTATCTAGAAATCACACAAAAACAATCTCAGAATGCATGCTATGAGAAGTAAAATGCAGGATCAAAAATGCAAATATAAAGATGAAGCAGAAAATACTTCTCTATTTGGCACACACTCAACTTCAACGAAAAACGATAGGAAAGAAAGACAAATTAAATAGGAGCAACATTAACAAGGAATGAACATAACGTGTTTAAGATCTTTTGTAAATCCTAAAAAATGGACACAAATATCATTCATGAACTTGGGGAAGAATACGGGATCCACTAGTCGATTTTCAACATCAACTCTTGCAGAAAATGGGTTCAACATTCCTAAAGTACTTTTCAATCTCATAATTAAACTTTTAAAGAATAATAATGAAAAAGAGGTATTTCAGCGTTAACAGATAAATAATCCCCAAATCATATTTTGTTTGGCCTGCATGCCTCAGCTAACTTATGAGAAAAACAAAAGCTTCAAATGAAACAGGAATAAAAAAAAGCAGATTTGCTGTGAGATTTACGCACTAGCCTTTCCAAAAAAAAAGCAGATTTGGATGCGGAAGAAACTAAAATCAAAATTAATGTATACATCTATTAACCGAATTCCATGGATGCCTAAAAACCTAGCTTCTTAAGCAATCAAACGAAACAAGAAAAAAACCTAAACAAAAAAATGTGTTGGAAAAAAGGGAATTGAGGATCAAAGAAAGCATCAAACAATGTGACGAGTAATTTAACAGCAGAAGGAAGCAAGGATTAAAAGAAAGTACCAGATAGCGAAAGGAGGGGCGGGCAGTGGAACTTGGCAGAAACAAAGATGATAAGAGATTTCTTTGATGAAATCCAAGGCTTGGGAGAAGAAGCAGAGGCAAACGGACGAGAAGAGGGTATTTTCGCCCTTAGAACAGGGAATAAAACAATACCTAAGCAAGGCATGGGATTAACATTCCCGATAAAAGGAGGGAAAAGATTACTGTTGGTAATTTTTTATTACTCCCCTATTGAGAATCTTGCAAATCCAAACATGGGTATCTTAATCAGGAAAAAAAATTTCCCACTAGGAATCCTTAATTCCATGATCCAAACACCCCCTTAAAGCTAAATAATATATATATAATATTTAATAATTTTAATTAATTCGGTTAATTAACTGATTTCAAATCAAATTAACCGAAATAGAAATTTAAATAAAACCATTAATCGTTAATCGACCGAATCCAAAATTAACTGACCGATTAACCAACCAAAATTTCAATTTGATCGATTAATTCGATTTTAACGGAACATTGAACAGTGAACACCCCTACCCAACATTAAGAATCTTGAGTTTAATTATCAAAAGTACAGTCCCAAACTTAGGAAGGTCAATACTGTTTCAAATAATTGATAAGAGCATTGCTAGCGTTATTAACGTAATTTATAAAAATTTAAAAGTTTAAAGAACGTATAATTATAAATTAATTATAAATTAATTATAAATTTAACGATAAATTATTTAAACTAAAATTTTAAAATATCCTTTACTTAAATAATAATAAAAAAATCTTCAAGTAAATTAACCGAATAAAAATTACCTCTTTCAAATCCAAAAATTTCCCGGGAAAACAAGGGTCAACGGAATTAAAAATTGGGTAAACTATATATTTAGTACATAAACTATTAATTTTGATCAATTTTAGTATCTAAACTTTTGATTTTTGAAAATTATACCTAACATTTAGTTTTTGTTTCATTTTAGTACATGTTGTTAAAAACTTAACGCATTTAGTACCCGAGTTTCAAATTACGGTTGCGGTCGCGTTTTCGGTCATTTCGGGTTTACAGTGATTGTGGTCGTCTCGGCCGCTATTACGGGTGTAGCGAATAACTCGGACTGCGGCGAAACCTCTATTTCGCGGGCGCTATCGCATTTTCGGACCGTTATTTGAAACTCTGTTTAGTACCTAAACTATTAGTTTTGATCATTTTTAGTATCTAAACTTTCAATTTTTTAAAAATTTAACATCAAGTTTTAAACAGATACTAAAATGAAATTTATGTATGTTTTAAAAAATAAAAATTTCAATACTAAAACAGATCAAAATTAATATTATAAATACTAAATAGTAATTTACCAAATTAAATATTTGAAGCCAAGAACAGAAACAAATGAAGGCAAAAAGAACAATGGCGCCCTTTTTGTTCATTTCATGGACATTATTAGGGAATTTGGCGGGTGGCAACGAACGTTAAAAACTATACCTATCAGTGGTAGTTTCGTCATTTCATAAGCTCCGAGTTAGGGTTTCGCATCCCGTTTTATAAAGCGGTATCTAGATCCGCCCTGCGTGTGGTGTTTCGTGTCGGTTTATTTTTTCCCCTCTGCTTTATTTTCCTTCATTTTCCTCCCCAAAACCTCCATTTCTCTTATCAGTTTAACCTTATTTTCTTATCCAATCAGCTTTTATTTTCGCTACCCATTTTAATTCTTCGTGTTCCAGAACTTGGGTTGGTTTCAGATCTTCGGAATATGA